TTTGACTTTTCAGACAAATTTTGAAGCGTAGATAAAGTGGTGGAGGAAAAATGAATGATTAATGACGTGCGGCTTGCAGCATGCTGATCCAAACTGAAAAAGCTCATAAATTGACCATTATGTCCTCCCAATGCAATTGAAAACCCAAAATAATTGTTTAGATGGAGAGAAATAATAAATAAATAAATAAATGAAAGATAAAATATTTTTTTCTAATTAAAAATTCAACAATTTTTTTGATAAAAATTAATAATTTATTTAGTTTGAGGGAAATTAAGAGAAAGAGAGATGAAAATGAAGAAGAGGAGATTTGAATAAAAAGATGTTATATATTTTTATTTTTCTCTTCTCCTCTATTTTATTTATTTAAATAAATAAAATAATATAAATGACTCTTATCCCTTCAAACTAAATATATTATTAAAAAAGATAAAAATTAAGACAATTTAATATTTTAGATATTATGATATATTATAAAATTATTTAAATATTTTTAATTACTCTTTTTTTATTAATCTATTAAAAGTTTTTAATTTTTTTATAATCAGTTTAAATATTTAAATTATAAAAATATTTTAATTTTTTCTAATCTAAAATAATTAAAAAATATATCTTAATTTCTAAATTTTTATTCAATTGACATAATGTTTCATTGACAAAAAGTCTAATCTTTTTTCTATTTAAAATAAGAAAAGATACTATGATAGCTGGTTGCCACTCAGCCGGAGTTGTTGAAGCTTTGAAAGGTTTGCAAAGCTTCTTGGGATGCTTCCTGTGAGAAGATTCCGTGATAATTCCACAAATGTCAGCTCAGTGCAGCTTCCAAGCTCATCTGGGATGCTTCCTGTGAGAAGAGAATTGTCACTTAGGCTGAGGTGTCGAAGCCTCGAAAGGTTCCCAAAGCTTCTTGGGATGCTTCCTGTGAGAAGATTCTCTGCGAAGTCCGCCAATGTCAGCTCAGTGCAGCTTCCAAGCTCATCTGGGATGGTTCCCACCAAGTTGCTTTGCCACAGAGACAACGTCTTCAGCTTCCGTAGCTCACCAATTCTGCGGGGAATTGGACTGGAGATGGGATTCTGATGCAAATACAGATTCTGCAGCTCACTGCAGTTTCCAATCTCTTCTGGAATAGCACCAGACAGCAATGATGTGTAGATAGCAATAGTCCGAACTCTCCTCAGCATTCCAATTGATGAAGGAAGGCTTCCAGAAATACTGGTTGCAGCAAGGCCTAACTTAACCAGGCTGGTGCAGTTTCCTATCTCCCAAGGCACCTCACCCTTAAGGTCTTTGTTCCCTCCTGCTCTGAAAACCTCCAGCTTCCTCAATTTTCCAATGCTCTTTGGAACTTCACCGCTGAGCTGATTGTCATAGAGTGTTAAATAAACAAGATTGGAGAGATTTCCTATTTCAGCTAGAATTTCACCTTCAAGGAAGTTTGTGTTGAGAGCTAAACTCTGCAGCTTCCAAAGCTTGCAAATTTCCTGAGGTATCCCACCTGAGAGAGAGTTGTTACTGAGATCAATCAAAGTGAGCTCCTGGTAATCACCAAATTCTTTAGGAATTGTCCCCGTGAGATTGCTTGATGAAAGATTAAGGGTCTTCAAGGACTTGAGGGGCTGAAAATCTGAAGGCAGTGAGCCTTGTAAATCCACTCCCTTTAAGCTTATCTTCTCCACTTCCCCATTTGTATTGCAGTGAATCCCATACCACTTGCATGGACTTTGGTCCAGTGAATTCCATGATCTTAACGCATCTGTGGAGCCGTTTAAACTGTTCTTCCATGCCAACAAAGCCTGGCCTTGTTCATCAATGGCAAAACAAGTATAGAACACAAGTGAGTTTAATGAAAGAAACCAGGTGAGGGACAAGATATTGGGAGAAAGATGGAGATTCCTTAGAGTTTCAGGCATTGCTTTGGCTTAGAAATGATCAGAACAGTTGATTTGTTTTGGGATTGTAGAGGGTGGAACCCCATGTTTTGTTTATAGAACAAAAGGAAAGCGATGTGCAATATGCGAT